ACATACCATAATACACACATACATATACATACCATAATACACACATATACACACATATACACACACACACACACACATGTATATATATACATATATACACACACTGTAGTTTTTAAAGCCCTGATACAGCTGATAATACACTAATGCTTGCACTTTATTTATTTAAAAATTTTCAAAAATTTAGTTTGACTTTTTATTGAATTATAACTAAATATAATTAATTCAATGCAACATTTTTTTTCATTATTGAGTACTTTTTTTATTTATTTGTAGATAAACAATAGTAACTTATTTTGTTTTTAATTTCCACTCATTTACCTAATTTTTTTCTTTATTAGAGTCTTGGTTTAAATTTTTTTTTTTCTTGATTTTAGAAGTCATGATTTAATGATATAAATATTTTATATCTTTGACACTACCTTGCCATGTGATGGACTTGAGAGTTGTTCAGGGTGTACCCTGCCTCTCTTACAATGACTGCTGAAGGTATGTACCAGCTCCACAGCAAGCCAAAAAGGAAAAAATGGAGGGAGGGAGGAAAAAGGAAGGAAGGAATGAAGGGAGTGAGGGATGGATACCTACCTTCCGCTGGCGTTTCCTCATTTCCTTCAGTCCCTTCATGTAATGGTCACCAATGTCTAATTTTTATTTCAGCTCATAGCACTTTTAAATGAGCTTGTGTTTTATTGTTTGTTGATCCTCTTTCAATTTTTGTCTTAATCTAAAGCACATTGTTGTATGAAGTGTTGTAGACTACATCACCACTGTACATGTACACCGTTATCAAGTAAACTATTCCAAAGGATTCTAGTTATTAGACCTTTCCAATTAAAGTTTCTGTCTTATTTCATATTATTTGTTTAATATTCATAAACAGTAATAAAGTTTGAATGTTTACTATTTGTTTCTGTTTAACCCAGAAACACAAGTTAAATTTTGGTTAATGGCAGCAGACTGCACGAAGACCTGTTTACAGATGTGGCTTCCTAAATTAAAGTGACTAGTTTTCTCTTGCTAAATATCGGAAGTGAATTTGTGCCTTTTGTCTTCTAGTTTCCTTTGAGACCCTTTGCAACTTAAGAGTGAGTTTAAGCTAATGGTCCCACAAGTCCTCAAGAAAACGAGCATGAAGATGGGTCAGAACTTACCCATAGGGTTTCCTCTTGTGTCCTCCAGCCTCTCCTGAATGAGCGAAATCTGCCGGTCCAAGTGTCCATTCAGCTCCACCTGCGACTCGTATCTCGTCTTCCACTCATTCCCTGACAACATGAGAAATCAACAGAGCTGACCACGAGGAAAAACACCTTTTAATTGCCAACCATTTTTAATTATCTTCCCACCTTCTTCATCGACGCTGAGCAGTCTTTCTTGTAGTTCACACATGGTTCTCCTCAGGTCCGACACAGATTCTTCCAGCATTTCTCTGCACAAACGTCAGATGCTAGCTTCAACTTTAGCAGCGGTGCAAAACCTTTGAATTATTATCAAAATGTTGAAAAAAAGGTTCAAATAAACTCACTTTATCTCTCTTTCTTCTTCAAACTCCACCCGCAGCCGCGACAAATCGTATTTACTTAAGTCGCTGTCTTTAGCCATAATCAGGAAAAGTAACGGAATGTGTTGTGGCTCGGTTTCCATGGAGACCTATACTTCCGGTTTAAGGCGTCGCTACCAAATAAGACTAAACAGTGCAATGTTTCAAAATAAAACCTTCAGTTTTGTTGGCATTTTTTTGCAGATTTCACAACCTTCCTCAAATGTGGTAGTAGTGTGTTGTGTGGACTATTAAACTTAGCTTATTTTAAGCTTTATTTCTACATAAACTTCTTACTGACAGTTTAGCAGATATTTGGTCCGTCTCATGTACATCCATGGGTCATCTGGAAACTGGGATTTTAAATAAATTAACTGTAGAAATTACGGACACCAGTCTGATAAGATTTACAGCTTTATTTAAATTTATTCTTTTCACAATACCCCTTAGTTAAAAGATTATCAGTATCATGTACACACAAAAAAAAAAAAGATATATTTAAAATAAAACCAAGTACGTTCTAATAATGGACCCTTTATAAGGCGTGTACAGTTGCAATAAAAAAAGGTTTTTAATGAGTTTGTTGACACTTAAAGCATTAACAATCGCTTATAAAATAGTTATAAGCGATTGTTCATGCATTGGAGCAGACCGAGTATTTTGTAAGAAAGATTAGCTTTTCGTTTTTAGCTCTTCATAATTTAGCTCCTAAATACCACATACAGTTGCCAATAATTTACTTGCATGTGACATGAGTGTTTTTAGACAAAAAAAATTGGCATAAAGTTTTGTTAAATTTTAAAAAATAAGCAAATAGCTTTAAATTACATTTACCTAAATAAATAAAAGTACAGCAATTGATCTTGCCAGTGAGCCTGCCTCTATGTATGAACAGTGTTTTATGACTATTTTTATAAGACTGTTTACAAACCCATAAATAACCTATTTACAATGATAGAATGAAGCCTTTCGGAACAGACCCTTATTAGTGGTACTAAAATGGAAAGCATTAACATCCTGCATACATTTATTCTTTCTTCTCTTCCTCTTTTTTCTTCTGCACGGTCCTTCCCTCAGTCTGCGATTGCTGTTCCTCCCTTCGCACTTTCTTCTCTTCGGTTTCTGCAAGCTCTCCATCGGGAGTTGCCGACATTGTTGTGGCTGTCTTCTTGCTGGTCGTCTTCAGGAAGGCTTTAATGCCCAGATTGTCAAGATTGTGTGCTGCCAGACCGATGTTGCCCACTGACACGAGAGCAGTGTTTGTGGCTTCGCCTGTATCCTCACCATACCTTTTGTCACAGATAATTTTGTGGCATTAAAGAAGAGCAGTGCGGTCAAAATAAATAAATAAAACACTTTAAATGAACAACACGTATAATAAAAGGTTTATAAATAGTCTAAATAAAAAGAGTTTGGCACCCAGCACAAGCTGGCATTTAGCTCAGGTTAGCACAAATAAACCCAGAAACAGCAGCGGCTGCACCGTCTGTTCTGATATATGAAGTGTGCAACAACTACAGAGATTTGTGGTCACACAAGGAGGCGTTCAGAGGAAGAGTTAGGTGTTGGTCACACTAGTTTAAGGCACTTGGAATCTGACACACCGTCACTGTAGCTATGCACAAAAAGGTAAATGAACCCAAAGCTTGAAAATACAATCCATGTTGCATCTGAAGATGTGCCATTTTCCAACTTGGCTTGGGTTAGTAAAAGTGTGTCTAACAGGTTTTAATTGTTAGTTCACAAGCAACAAGCCTTTACTCCCCCGAGAAATCAAATGTTGATGGACCCATGTGTGAGATTTTCTAAGCCCCTAAATCTGAAAAAGAAACAGGAGTGAAAAAAGGTCAGAGCACCAACATACCAAGATGAAAGGAAAACAGTGGGTAAGTAGCAGATTGGTTTCTTATCCAGTACACCTACTGCTGTTTAAGTGAAATTCAAAAGCTGAGAGGAAAACAGCTATAAGATTGAAGTTTTATAATATGAATCAGTGCCATAATAGGAACATCTGAACTTACTTGTACTTCACTGTTGTGACGGTCTCAGCAGAAACACTTTTGCAGACAAGCTTTGCTCCAGATTCCAGACTTGACCAAACAGTAGAGAAACCTAATTTTGAAATACAATTCAAACTCAAATAAAAAGTCCTCCAGAAAAACAGCATTTACTAATCAAACGTTTCCAAGACCAAGCAAACTATTTTTTAATTTTACTACGCACCTTGAACACCACTGACTGCTACAAGTTTGGCTCCATCAAAGTTGGAAGGTTGGCCATCTTGGTTCTTCTTCAAAGCCTCTGGAACCAATTTAGGACCATATTTCTTTATTTGAGGGCCCACCTTGTCTGCTACATGTCCTGCAATTGTGCTCAAGCCACTCACTGTGGATACAGTTGTACAATAAAATTTGTTAAATATCTTATACTCTGATGATCAAGACAGGACACACATTAACAACAAAACCATATATATATATATAAGCATTATTTGAGCTCGACTGTTGGTGGAGCAGTGGTTGGCTCTGTCAACCCACAGGAACAAGGCCACAGATTTGCCTCGCTACTCTTATAGGAGTTTGCATGCTCTCCCTATGCATGCATGAGTTTTCTCCAGGTATTCTGGTTTTCTTTCATTGATCAAAAATGTAATTGTTAGAATAAATAATGATTTTTCACTAGGTGCGAGTGAGCGCGTGTCTCATTTAGTCTTATGTGACCCTGTGTTGGATCTGTGACATCTCCCAGATGTAAATGGACTGCAGTTATTTAGCACTTTTCTATCTTATCAAGATACTCAAAGTGCTTTACACTACAATATGTGCCCTCATTTACCCATTCATAGAGCACTCTACTATTTCTGTACAAATAATAAGTGTTTTATCACATTCATACACTGATGGGACACACATAGGAGGCAATGAGGGGTTCAGTGGCTTGCTCAGGGACACTTCGGCATGTGACTGTTGGTGGCATCGAACTCTTTGCACTGGAGGACGACTGCTCTAACCACTCAGCCACAAAGCCACCCCAAACAGCATGTGCCCTGCCTCTCACACAATGACTGCTAGAGACAGGCTCCCCCATGACCCGAAAAGGAAAAAGTAAACAAACAAAAAAAGATGGATGAATTATGGGAAAATGTCAGTATGCTCTAGTTTGAATATTATTAAGTCAATAAAAAAATTAATTAAGATTAATATTCTCACCTAACAACTGGGTGACGCGAACAGCACCTCCAGTAGCCTGTTTAGTCGCATTCAGGCCTTTAGTGACACGAGGGTTGACCTCTGACGGAGTCTCCTCAGGTGTGATGCGGTCCCGGATCTTGGCTCCTCCTTTATGAATGGCCCTCCCTGTCGCCTCTGCTCCTTTTGCGAATGACTGACTCAGCCGTGTAGCTCCTACAGAGATATACGTTTGTCTTCTTAAATGTGCTGGTCTCAAATTAATGGTACACCAGAATGTTCAACGTTTTTCTTGCATACCTGAATCCTGGTCAGTATACTGCAGTGGTAAACAGCACCATCTAGTGAATACTCTTTAGAACATCTACTGTACGTTGAGATTTTTGTTTAATATTCTGAAAATGTTATTTCCATTTCCTCCATTTTTCTTGTAAATGGTGCTTATAATGCATCAAATAACCATATTTATACAATATCTTGTTTTAAAAATGAAAGCACCATTTAAGTAAAGGTGATTGATAGTTTAACAGAGTTTGTTTTTCCACAAACTCACCTGACAAGATTCCTTGGGCCATCTTTTCACTCCATCCAGGTAATGGTGCAACTTCCTTCTCTGCTGCTGGTATTTCTTTCTTTGCTGCTGGTATTTCTTTCTTTGCTGCTGGTATTTCTTTCTTTGCTGCTGGTATTTCTTTCTTTGCTGCTGGTATTTCCCTCTCTGCTGCTGGTGCTGTATACTCATTCACGTGACCAAGAGGGACTTTTGTAGTCAGGTTCATGACCTCTACTCCTGTACCTTCTGGGTCCTATCAGAAAATATATTTAAGTTACGAGCTACACTGTGATGACGAGAGGAAAGCTGAAGCAGAATCACTTTATTAATATGTAAACAACCAAACATATTACAAACAAACAGTGTGATGAAGAAAGAAACGATTTGTTTTGCTCTTGGGATGTACAGTATTTTAGAACATTGATCTCAAAGTTACAAATCAAACTCCACATATGATCTGTATCCTCGCATACATCTAATGTTTCGGAAGGCACTCGGCAAACCCGATAGTTTTGAAAGGCGTTCCAGTCTCTATTTTATTAAGCCTGTTTAAAAAGGGGATTTGGGCCCTTATGTAGATTTGGGTTATGTAGAAATATTATTGAACACACAAAAAATACTGTGTATTGTGACAGACACAAGGTGCTCCAGAGTGTGGTTTGACCACTTCATCCTAAACTTATTGTGCCGACCTACATACAACACTGCTGTTAGTAAAGGCTGACCTGAATCCTGAAGTCTGTAAGCTGCGTTAGCAGGTCCTGAAACATCTCACAGTCAGCAGCAGGCAGTTCAGAGGAGAACACCAAACCCACGTAGGAGCCAGGTGTCTCCGACAAGCAGTCAGGAAACATGAAGATCCCAGAGTTGGCCAGCAGCACCGGCGTGTCCGCCATCAATGGATACATCCAACTGCCCACCTAGAAAACCCAATGAAACAAACAAAAGAAGGTTGAAAAAGGTATTATCGGTCGAAATGATCAAGATTAGATTTATTTATTCATTTATACTGGTCAGCAATTGTAACTGGTTTATGATCAATCTAATCATTTTTTTAATCTACTGTTTTATTTAATAACTTTAAGACAGGAAATTAGTTATAATAAATTTTATTGACATTTTGGGACTCTTTCCCTTCCTCTCTGGGTCGTAAGTATTAAGACATCACCTGCAACTTTTGTTTACAAAGGCTGCAGGGTTAAATTTTAAACCTGTTTATCTGTAAAGGCACAAACGTACCCCATTTACTAGAATGCATCTTGTTTTTTGTCCTTTATGATCTCTTTCAATAAAAATTAAAATAAAAAAAAAGGTAAAGCATCAGCTGTAAGATGTCAGTCTTGTGCAAAGACGTAACAAAAACAGATTTGTTGCTGCGTGGTGCCGCTTGTATGTCGCCTGGCAGATTGACCCCAGCGAGGGCACAGGACTCTGACCAGCAGCACAACAGAAGTGCAAAGTCATCTATTAATGGGACCATTGTCTTACTAGGAAACAAAGCAGAGTCAGAATACAGAGTCAGGATTGTTGAGCAGGAAGCGAAGAATCACGGATTGCAGTGCAGGACAAAGCACAGAATAATGCATACTTTGTAGAGCTGCCAGAACAAACTTTTATTTTATCATGAACCAACACAAAACAATCAGGTATAGGGTTTTCAAAAGCCTCTATAATAAAACGACTAACTGAGTAGCAACTATAGCAACAGTTTTAACTGCCCAACCAGCTGGGCAATTATGTTGACAACTTTAAAGAATATTTCAATGGGCAAGAAAATTAGTGTTTTCTTATGATATGGTCATAATTGAAACATTTTCTTCCAGGAAATCATAGGTATGTTTCACAATTTCCTGAATCCTGAAGTAACGGAGTATAAACATTTAACTGAGTAATTAAGATAAGTTCAGCTACAATGTGCATTATAAGACTAATTTAATGTTTTTAATACCATCTCTTACTTTTTAAATTTTCTCCCCCATCAACGCATTAACTTACTGACCCATGGTTAAGCTATGAAAACATTTAAAAAAACACTAACACGGACTTCCCTGAAATCACACCTAAGGACACACACACCCAAAAAAAATGTCCTCTTAACAGCACAAACTCACGCTTACTCTTACTTACACGCAAAGTTGCTGAAGGTTTTCCAGCTCTGGAATTGCTGTGCAGACTGTCCACTGTGATGATGCGAAGGTAGCTGGGATAAGACAGAGAGCTGACCTGTCCACTTGGCTCCACAAAAAAGAGCTGCACCCCTGAGGGGATATAAAGCAGCTCCTTTTCATTTGCTACTGCTTGACCAGGTCTACCGGGCCAGAAGCTGGCTCCAACAGGATCAAAAGGCAGGCGGCAGTGTCCATCTGTGGGCTTTGGGGTGTACGCTGGAGGCAGTTCTGCTGGATTATCCATGGTGACAGTTTCCCGATCTCCTGCAGGGAGTGTGTATGTGTTTGGGACAGCAGGGGAAGCAGGGTTGATGGGGGCTGTGTAGGGGGCTGGTGATGTAGCTGGTATGGTGGGGTACAGATGGTGGAGTGTGCTCTTTGAGGGCTGACTCTTCGTAGCCAAGTTTGGATAGATAGCAGAAGAGTCATCAAGCAAAAGAACATAATTTGCATTTTCTGGTGACTTTTCCAGTTCAGAAAGGTGGTCATTAACAGTTTCTAACATATCCTCCATCTTCTGCTGAAGATGCCTGGCCTTGTCCCAGGCCTCCCCGTGGTGCCTCTCCCCTTGTGTGGGCACCTCCAGCCCCTGGGTAAGATGCTGATGAGCCTTCCTGTACAATACCAAGGCCTCGGATTTGTTGTCGGCGTCTTCAGCTGCCAGTCCTCGATGCAGACAGTGGCAGGTACAGACATACTGGTCTTTAATAATCAGCAGCTCAGCAGGTTCAGCCATACTAAAGGAGCAAAACACACCCAGAAAATAATAAAAAATATATTAGATTTAACCCAAGACTGTAATAAAATGTAAATGTCTCTAAAATGTGTCTAAAATCCATTACATAGACTACAAGCATTTCTTAAAGACATAAAAACCTGGACGACCCTAAATTTTCTGCTTTTAAACTCAGACAAGACTCAGGTTTTGGTTTTTGGACCTGAACATCATAGGACTACATTTTTCAGTCTTTCGCCCTCCTTGGATGGCATTAATCTGGCCTTCAGTTATAATGTTAAAAAGCTTGTGTTTTTTTTATCTGGACATATCTTTTATCTCCCACATTAAAAACGCCTTTTTCCACCTATGTAATATCACTAAAATTAAAAATGACGCAGGAAAACTGGTTCATGCATTTGTCACGTCTAGACGGGACTATTGAAATGGTTTGTTATCTGGGTGTCCAAATAATTCTTTAAAAAGTCTTCAGTTAATCCAAAATGCTGCTGCCAGAGTCTTAACTGGAGTTAGGAGCGATCATATTTTCATTTTTTTCATTTAGCCTTTATTTATCCAGGTTAGTCTCATTGAGCCACGAGAACTCATTTTCAAGAGAGACCTGTTTAGGGAGCACATGGTGGGGGTTAAGGGCCTTGCTCATGGGCCCAGAGTGGGGCGAATGAGGGTGGGGGCAAGTGTGGGTGTTTCACCTACCCCACCCACAATTTTGATGTTGTCGGGGCCGGGGCGTGAACCGGCGATCTTCGGATCACAAGCCCACCTCTCTAACCTCTGCGCCACCACTCCCCCAATATCCCCAATATCTCTCCAACTTTAGTTTCTCTCTATTGGCTCCCTGTCAAATTCAAAATTGAATCCAAAATCTTACTTGTAACCTACAAAGCCCTCAACAACCTAGCTTCATCTTATATCTTACTGTTCCATATTTTCCTAACAGAGCACTTTGCTCTCAGACTGCAGGTTTACTTGTGGTTCCTAGAGTTTCCAAGAGCAAAATTGGAGGAAGACCTTTCAGTTATCAGGCTCCTCTCTTATGGAACCAACTTCCAGTTTCTGTCTGTAAGACTGACACATTGTCCAGATTTAAGACTGGAGTTAAGACTTTCCTTTTTGATAAATCCTATAGTTAGGGTTGGCTTGTTATGCTGCTATAGGCTTAGACTACGGGAGGACAAACTGACCTCATTTCTTCAAATGAATTGTTAAAATTGAATAGTTTTCATTTGATACTATTTCTGTCTTAGTATGCAATTCTTGTCCTGCCATTGTGTATCTGTTCCTCCTTCCTGTTGCTCTCATACCCAGCCGGTCGATGAAGATGGCCGCTTGTCCTGAGCCTGGTTCTACTGGAGGTTTCTCCCTCATGAGGGAGTTTTTCCTTTCCACTGTCACCTTCATGCTTGCTCAAGATGAGAGTTCTGCGATGAAGTTAAATTCAAAGCAGTCTGCTCCTCAGATAAATAATGTTAAATGATTATTTATATATATGAATGTTTTAGTTCTGAGCCCTGAGATGACTTCTGTTGTGATGCGATATATAAAAAAATTGAATTGAACTAAAACATTAATAGAACACAGCTTGTTGTTCTTCCATTAATTAGAGGGGGGAAAGAACATCTTGAGTTGTACCTTTAAAAAAAAAGCTATGTACAGCAAGACAAACCGCGAGAAAAGTGAAGAGCTTAGCTAAAATATGCTTAAGATAAACTAAAAGAAAATATTTGGTGGCTCAAACATTTTTAAAAGAATAAATTTGAATAAAATCTCAGTCATGTAATTGTTCATGCCAACAAGTGTTGAGCTAGCAAACAAAGGAAGAGCAAGTTATTCCAGACCAACAGGTGCGCGTGACGCTTCCTTACGTCTATTAATACATTTTTTTAAATAATAAATAAAGTTTAGTTACCTTCACTTGGAGCGCTGGAATCCCGCAAAGAAGAAAAAATTTTAAAAAATTCTTGTTTAAGATTTTATTTCAGATTTTACCTGTTCCTTCTGTCCTCTCAGGTGTGAAATCCAGCCTTGTAGTTTAACTCAGCTCATTCAGACGCACGAGCGCCAAGTCACTCAACCAGATAAAGGAAATGACGTTCGACAACATCCTTTCAAAATAAAACTTGGGTACGAAGACAAAAAAATTGATAACTTTTGTTTCCTGTGTGTTTCAAAACACTTTTTGTTTAAAGTTTATTTATTAAAAATGTTCAGGGTTTATGTAAAATTGTGACTCTGCTCCAAATGTTATAGTTAGGATTAATTGCTCTTTTAGGAGGTCGAGAAATTACCATTTAATAGGATAAAAAGCAAATGTGGAGATGGAAAATACTGTTAAAACCGCCTTAACTAATGAAAAGATGATTAGAAACATGGTCCTCATCATAACAATATAAACATTTAATAACACCATGAAGCATTCAGTTGTGTAAACAAATCAAAACATCTATTCCCTTGGTCACCACAATGAAATTAATTCATTTAGCTCCACTATGAATTCAGACACTGTAAAGCACACACAACCAGCTTGATCAAATACCAAGAAATTATTTTATTTACATAAAATTATGCTTCTGATACACATAATTGTATTTCTATAAACACATAACCTTTATATTATGGATTGAGTGGCACGGCAGCTCTAGTTAGATGGAGTTCGTGCACAACACTGTCGGGGTTTGCAAAACAAAGCCATATTTTATGTATATTTTTTATTTATTGCTTGAGGAGGAAAGTTTCTATGCTCACCTCAGAAGAATTACATAATAGACATGATGTTTTAAAGTCTACATTTTCACAACTTAAAAGGTCAATCAGTGAAACAGAAATATACCACAACTTTTTATTGTTTTGTAAAACATTTTTTAACCTGATATCTAATAGAAAACACGCACATAAGACACATTTTGTAATGCAAATCTAATATATATATATATATATAT